TTTGGTATCCTATATGTGCCACGTGCAATACTTGTCCCATGAATGTGGGAGAGATTTACGATGACTTTGTTGATCTCTCCTTGATTAGGTTATATTATATGTCAAGGAAAGTGGTCTAGTCACTCTTATGTTATTTTACACCAATCCTGTCCTGCAAGCCTGAGAGGAGTTTTGCTCTGAATGTACAGGCAGCCTGTAGGATCCGAATGATTCTTGGCTGAGATCAGAAGACACACCTCCAAGTTCAGTGGAGGCCTTTAGAAATATGAATGCACTTGTAAGAGAACCTTAGGTCCAGATGTGAACCCAGCCCTTGCCAAAACCTTGGGTTCAATCTTGAGAGCCTCAAAATAAGACCCAACTGTGTTGATTTCTATTTCTCCCTCTGCTTGGCAATGGGGCAATGGGTATCACTTAAGGCACTAACTTTGTGGTACTTTGTTATTCAGCAAAGATGAGGATGCATCCAATCGCTCTTTTTACAGACGATCCCTCATCCCCACAGAGCTATAAAACAGCTCAGTCATATTAAAAAAAAAAAAAAGAAAGAAAATTCGAAGGTCAGAGCTAACAGGATATCAAATGGATTTCGTTTCCTAATGCATTTTTTCCCTCTAGTCTGTATTGAAATTGAATGGTGACAGAACTTTTGCATTTGTGACCATTTTATAATCTATTGCTCTGATTTAATTTTATCTTTGAACCTAGTTTTTGGTTCCCATCTACAAAAGTAGGAGCAATCAAAGTTAGCTGGATTTTGAAAGCACTCTCCAGAGGAACTTACTCTGCATCTTAAAAAACAGAACTTAATTTTCTTTTCAGAGGGATGTTAGACAAGAGCTTTAAGGCTGTGCAAGCGCAGTTAATGCAATTCCTGGATCTACTGAACCGTGTTAAAATGCCTTAGGTGTTCACAGCATCGTTCCTAGTCTTAGAGTCACAGGAATTCGGGCTCACCGCTCAGCATGCAGATTCAGGACAAGTACAGGCAGGTTCTGAGAGCTGACAGTGTTAGTCGGGTCCAAGAGACCCACTGCTTGTCAGAACGATGTCTCGAATGGAATAGACTAGTGTGGAGTTCTAAGATTGAAGACACTGTAGACAAGGCAAGTGAGGACTCAGACCAGTGGAAGAAAAGCCCATAGACTACAGAGGAAACTTTGAGTGAGGGACAGGTAGCTGAACAGTGCCAAGAGAACATGGTCCTGACACTGCCGAGGCACCAGAGACAATGAGGGAGGCTGACAACTCCAGACATTGAGCTAGGTGCCTCCATGAGAACCTATAGGTAATCCAGGAAACATGCTATGACGGAAAGTGTGTTGGAATGATGATTTCCAAGAAAGCCTTGGCATACTAGAGCCTCTACAGGCTTATGGACCTCGCCTCACTTATTTCTAAGAACAGATATATGAATCAGTCTTTCATAGGTAGCAAACATCAAGCTTAGATTCTGGATCTAGTTCTCTCTAGCCTTAGCTAGTGAGATCTTGGCTCACCCACACAGCTTGTTTCTAAGATGAAAAATAGGAAAAAAAAATAATGTTGCTAGAGGAGGGACTGGTAAGGATAGAAGGCCTAAGTTGTTCAAGATTCTTGGGTGTAAATTATTCACAAAGGGGAAAATTTAAGAAACGAGTAAGAAATAGGTCACATGTGGCAATTTCCTGGATCAAAAGTGCAAACAAACGTAAGTAAGCCCAAACTGGAAAATGGTGCACTTGATGTCCTGGTGACAGATGAATTGCTGCAAATTTAGTGGCTTTAAAAAAACACACTTTCCATTTCATTATGTGTAGGTCAGGGACCTGAGTACTGCTCCCCTGCTTCCGGCTGTCACAAGGCTGCAACTGAAACACCAATCAGGGCAGTGGCATCATGGGAAAGTTTGACTGAGGAGAATATATATGGGTGTACATTTGGTTGCTTGTCAGTTGATGTACAGATACTACTGTTTCTTGTCACACGAGCCTTTCAGTGGAATAGCTCACAGCTCATGGTAGCTTGCCTCACTATAGAAGGCTAGGAAGAAGGCAGTTAGGAAGCAGTCATGGAAGCAGCATCGTACCATTGTTATCCTGATCTGCTAGAAGAAACTGCCCAGCCTCACCTTGCTCGGGGAAAGGACTGATGAGGGCAAAAGTAGCAAGAGGTGGGATCAGCAGGGGCCATTTTAGACAGAATCAAAGGGATTAGACAGAATCACAGCTGTCCAGATGTGCACAGCTGTATAGACAGGGTTATGAGTGGCTAGGTAGGTACAGAGAAGCGGGTATGTGAGACAGCATTTGGTGAACTCGTTCATGAGAGTCTGGAGTCCGAGAGCTTGTGGTGAGCCTTCGACAAGCCACAGTTTCAGGACTCTGTTCAAGTCCGAAGTCTTACAGCCAAGGAAACAAAGGGTGTAACCCTCAGCCCCAGAAAGATATCCAACAGCTCAGGAGCCCGTGGGTTCAATCCCCGCATCCAAAGGCTGCGGAGCTTGGGAGGCTGAAGTCAAGGAGAGCAGTGCTCCAGCTGCAGAAGAGAAAGAGCACATGGATCTTTCCTCTGCCTTCTGGTTCTGTCTGTTCCTTTGGTGCAGTGACCTGCTCCTCACACACAGTTTCCCTTACAGCCTGTGGGCTTTTTGTCTGTTGGTCTGAGTCCTCATTACATGCTTACATCACATGCTCACAGTTCCTTCAGTCTTAGAATTCCACATTGGTACATTTCATTCAAGACAGCATCACTGATAAGCAGTGGGTCTTATGATGCTCTGAACTTACAGGGCCTGCCTGTACTTGTCTTCTTTCTCAGTACTAAGTAGTGAGCCTCAGGTGATTGGTGGTACCTGACACATTGGCCTGGAACTCACTATGTAGAGAAGGCTGACCTCAAACTCCCAGAGATCTCACCTGCCACCTCTGTCTCTGCCTCTGCCTCTCTGCCCCTGCCTCTGCCTCTGCTGTTGCTTCAATGCTTCCTCAATACTGCAATTAAAGGCATGAGCCATATTTTCCCTGCCTTGCCCTTAATCCGAATGATCTTGTATATTTGAAGCAATCCTGGGTTTTCCAAAGTGATGGTGTGATGTTTAGTTCTAGGTATCAGCTTGACTAAGGATGGTATAGAAAAATGGTAAAGCATTATTTTGATGTGTCTGTGAAGGTGTTTCCAAAGGAAATGGGTACATGAGTGACTGTATTCAGTATGCTCCCCCATCAGGAAGAGGAGGTAAGAGCTAGCCACTGAGTTCATGTCAGAGACAGTCCCTGTTCCCCTTACTCAATACCCACTGGGATATTGAGCTGCCATGGGCTACACTTGAGCAGGGGTTCTATGTTATATCCATGAATGGTCCCTGGTTGGAGTATCAGTCTCAGAAAAGACCCCTGTGCCCAGACTTTTTGGATCTGTTGCTCTCCTTGTGGAGCTCCTGTCCTCTCCAGGTCTTACTATCTCCCCCTTTTTTCCTAAGATTCCCTGTACTCTACCCAAAGTTTGTTTATGAGTTTCATTATTTACTTTTATACAATGCTGGGTAGAGTCTTTCAGAGGCCCTCCGTGGTAGCCTCCTGTCCTATTTCTTGTTTTTCTCCTTCTTTCAATGTCTATCCTATTTGCCTTTCTGAGCGAGGATTGATCATCTTACCCAGGGTCCTCTTTCTAGCTCACCTTCTTTAGGTGTACAGGTTTTTGTAGGTTTATTCTATATTACATGTCTAGTATCCACTCATAAGTGAGTATATGCCGTATGTGTCTTTCTGTTTCTGGGATACCTCACTCAGGAAGATCTTTTCTAGTTCCCACCATTTGCTTGTAAATTTCATGATTTCCTTGTTTTTAATTGCTGAGTAGTATTCCATTGTGTAGATGTACTGCAATTTCTGTATCCATTCCTCTGTTGATGGACATCTGGGCTGTTTCCAGGTTCTGGCTATTATGAATAAAGCTTCTATGAACATGGTTGAGCAAATGTCCTTGTTGTGTACTTGATCATATTTTGGATATATGCCTAGGAGTGGTATAGCTGGATCTTGAGGAAACACTATTCCTAATTGTCTGAGAAAGCGCCTGATTGATTTCCAAAGTGGTTGGACAAGTTTAGTCATATTTTTCTATTCTTATACTCATAATAAGATCATTTACTTTCTGTTCATAACCCTGACTTTTCACTGTGCACATGAAAACCCATGACTACATCCTGAGAGCACAAGATCAAGGAACTTAGACTTACCCAAGAACGAATGTCTTCTTTGATCATTAACTAGTCTCAAGCCCATTTTTTTCCACAAATACAACTATGTGCCTGTAACTCAGGAAAGCTCCCTGTGCTCCTTTTTCTGCCCTATCCAGTCCTTACCACTCTACAAGGACAGGAACATTTTACTTTTAGTTCCAGTTTTGCTATATCTTCCTGACAAAACAACGTAAACCATCTCCTTAAACTTTTTATCAACTACCCTAACTTCCTAAAACTATTTAAGTCAAAACAGGAATTCTGTAAAATCATTAATTAATCTAAACTGTATTATACTGTGAAAGTTCATCTTCATATTGATCTGCAGGAAAATCGCTGTGTCCTGTGAAGCAATCACAGCAGACTATGGACAGCGAGCATCTCCCCATGCCCATTCTCACCATGCTAGATACAGGAGGAATATGGCAATGACAAATGTGAGGAGGCATAGGAGCAGCAAGAAGCCATCCAGGATGAACCCCTGGGGCTGGGCCTCTTTAAGATGCAGCTAGCCCAGCTGTGCAAAATGGTGGACCGTCTTCCGGAAGTTCACTTGCCCACCACAGTTCCTCCTGCATGGTGTTCACCAACACACACACACACACACACACACACACACACACACACACACACACCAACCAGCCATAGAAAACACCCACAAAAGAGGAGGAAGAAGAGTCAGCACCTCCGATCACCGCTAACGCTCATTTCTCCTGTGAGCTGCGTCTCCGGAAGGCAGCTGAGGTTGGTTAATGGGAAACCTTATGTTTTCTTCCAGGAAACTGGCTAAGTCAACGCTGGTGCTGGTGCTGGTGTTCGGCGTGCATTACATCGTGTTCATCTGCCAGCCGCACTCCTTCTCGGGGCTCTGGTGGGAGATCCGCATGCACTGTGAGCTCTTCTTCAACTCTTTCCAGGTGACCAGCCACTCCTCCTCCGGCTTGGCGCTTGTGATTATGTTTTGCTCATTCCCTTCACCCCTTTCTCTGCCCTTCTCTTTGGCTTGGTGCACCCGTCTTCTGAGGGTCTTTCTGGCTCTTACTGTGTTCCCAGGTTAATTCTCTGACCACAGAGAGAACCAGCATGAAGCTGTTTGGCACAGGGACAAGCCTGGGTAGCAAGATAAGAAAACACACTGTTGGAGAGCACACCATTGCTGCAAAGCAGAGCCTTGGTGTGTGTGGAAAGTAACTGAAATTAAAAGAAGTCAAAGGTAGGGGAGATGGAGACAGGGAAGAGAAGGTGCGCAGAGGAAGGGGCTGTAGCCTCCCACTTTATCTTTTCGTAAAGAAGATGACTGCAGCCTCTCAAATGGACCGGTCTCCACTCTGCCTCCTCCCCCCCACCTTGAATCTAGTGACATATTTATTCCAGAGGGAGTAACCGAGTTTGAGACAAATACGAGTGACCATGGCCCAAGAGCACAGATTCAAGTTACCCACGTGGAAGGGATCACGTGAATAGTTCATAATCACAGGAGGCAAGGAAGTCATAAATCAATGACGAAGACAAAAACTGTCTGCTGTGGATTTCAGGTGAAACATGATGGTGTTCTTAGCTCTAGGTTTGTGGGACGCTAAATCAGTACATCCTAGAGGGTTTACCTCCTGGTTAGAGAGAGATGTAGTCTGCCACAAGGTGGCCAATGAATGACTCTCCAGGGAGTTGAAGATAGCCTGGGAGATCTGGGCTCTTAATCAGCAACATCCCAACTCTCCACTGCCACAAAATTCTAACTGTTGAGGCTACAGAATTTGTAACACAGGGGACTTCAGTTCACAGCAGCCTGAGCAGCTGAAATTTTTACACTCCGTGGTATTACTTACTTGCCGAAAGTATCCAAAGGTTTCCTGTTGCACTTCCGTGTCAACAGAGTGTTGTTTTCTGCCACACACAGCCCAGCATGGGCTGGAGCCTGTCAACACTCACCAAATCTCCCACTGAGCTCGTGGGAGCTTGCTTCACCCTAGTGCCTGGGACAGGGGCAGGGGTGTCACACTCTGCTCTTTTTTCCCCCTGAATGCCTCCCCCCCCCCGCCATCTTCATCCAGTTGACATCTTGCTCTTGTCACTCTGACCAGCTTAAATGTCACCACAGAGAAGTCTTGGCTGAGTTTCTGACCTGATACATCCACCCTGCTGTTCCCCTAAGACCCAACCCCCATTGCCTTGTATTTTTTATGTGGTCTTTGGCTTATCTTTTATCCTGGTCTCCTCCAGAACTGTTTTGTTTACATTCTCATCTGTGTCATGCTGAGTCACCTTTAGCACAGTGTTTAAGCTCAGTAGAGATTTGGAGTTTAAGAAAAGATTCTTTGTGCTCTCACCATATAATATTCTATGTGGGTGGCTTCTAGCGTTTAAGGCACATAAATGTATTTTACTAAGCAGGGGAGGAGTTTTATGTGATCTTCAAACAGCAATATAAATGAAACCGAACAATAAGAATCAGTTCTTTGCGTGCCTCCGATTATTTTACTCAGTTATTTATTTGGCTTGGCTGAAACCAAGGGAAGCTCACAAACAAATGTAATTTAAACACAAATATTTGGAAATATTAGGAGAAAATAATTTGTGTAATTTCCTGGAGAAATCATCGAAAGCCAGGTTTTCAGTTGGTGAATTTTGGCACCAGACACCTTCCTGTCTTCATGAATTGCCACCGGGCTCATGTCCTCCTTTTCTCTACAGGGTTTTTTCGTGTCTATTGTCTACTGCTACTGCAATGGAGAGGTAAGTCTGAAGATGCCAAGGGCCTCCGAAGAGAAGCTCCAAATTAAATTTTGTTTTAATCCATTCTGTGCCATTATGACAGAACACAGAAAAATTAGAAATTCGTGAAGAGTAAAGTTCTAAAAGTGGGACTGTCCAAGGTCATGGAGGTCATATCTGACCGGGATCTTCCTGTTTCATTATCCCATGATGGAAGGCTGAAGCAAATAAGCTCACATCTCTAAGAGCAAGAGACAGAACTCACAACCCTGAGCCTCTTCCTAATGGGTGGGGTGGCTCTTATTCTAGCTAATTCTAAATCAATTCTGGTTAATACTAAAGCTTTTGGTGCACACCAAGTTTTATAAGTAGTCAATAACTTTCCTTAGGATGACCCTAAGTGAAAATAAGTTAAATTTCATTAAAACAGATAAGCCTTACACTAGAATCTGGGGATGGGACCATCTATATCCATTTGGAAGTCCTCAGTGAGAGGGGAACTCCATATTACATCATCATATGGATGATGCCTAGGACACTGGGGCTTTCAGGGTGCCCTGCTGTTGTGTGGGTTACTGCCTCCTTTTTCTCAAGTGTCCAACTTGCTCCAAGTCCCAGGAGGACACTTGGGACACAGGAGGATGCTTCCAAGAGTATATTGGATTCCATGGGATGTTGGTTTCTGCATAAGGATCTTGAGTGGCAACTTGTCAACTCACCAATGTTGTGGTTGACTTACAGCTACTATGTATTCAAGTGCTAATTGCTTGCTCCTCTACCCCTGAGATCTTTACTGTCTTGTGAACTTTGGCTCCCAAGTTATCCCTGATTGGCTAAAAAAAGTTGCCCACAGCCTGAACCAGGTAGCAGAGAGGTAGGAGGATCAAAGGTTCATGGGCTTGGGGGTGGCAGAGGACCACAGGGAGAGAGAGGAAGGAGGAACAAAGGAGGATGTCACCGTGGGTTAGGGGAAACCAGGAGCACATGGCAGAGAGCAGCTTGCTCTGAGGACTGGCCCGATGGAGCAGGGACAGCCCAGTTGGAACATGTACGAGTATTTATGGGGGTTTGGGCTGGGAGCTAGACAAGATAGCTGAGAGGGTCAAGATCTATCCAGCTCCCATGCTTTAAGGCATATGAAAAATTTAACAGGGCTCTGCGTCTTTTATATATATATATATATAACTGGTTAAAGAATAACTGCCACCGAATTGACCACCAGCATTAAGTAATAATAACAAAATAATTAATTCCATTTACATATGTGCTAATAAGCATATGAAACTTTATTAATTATCAGTAATATTTTCACACCCTGGTTTTACTGTTGCATTGTTTTTACCTTAATTTGCAGCAAGGCTAAGTATGCTTCATTTATCTATCTATCTATCTATCTATCTATCTATCTATCTATCTATCTATCTCCAAGATGAACAGATGAGAGATGACACCAACCTAGAAGCTTTTGCTTCCCCTGGTGTTCTCAGGAAAAACTCAGTAGAAAGGACCCTTTGGTAGCAGGCGTAGAACCCAAACCCCAGTCTGGCCGGATTGCAGCTGCAGTGCCTGCTTTCCTGTCTCCCATCTTTCTTTACTTTCCTCCCTCCTGTTTTCTCATGCAGGTTGATAGCCGGCAGTTTCCTTGCAAGCCAAGTACCTCCCTTGCCATTCCCTTGCCTCGGGTGCTGTCAGACATCAGACTTTAAAGTGCTGAGAATGGAGTTTATTCAGTAGCTCCTTGAGAGGAGAGGAGAGGAGAGAGCCGAGCTCTGTTCTCATCTGGGCAGAGAGAGTTTTGAGAGCTTGGTGTTTGGGCGCTCAGCGTTTGAAGCGGAGGAGCACAGACAAGAGCTTCAGACAAGGGCTGGTCGGGGCGCAGGGGTTGCTGTTAGCTAGGCTATGCCAGCTCAGTTAAGGCTCCATCCTTCAACACAGAGAGAGAAGCAGAAGCCCCAGCCTCTTGATGGCTACAACACAACTAGTGGGAACGACTATTGAGCAAGAGAGAGAGAGAGAGAGAGAGAGAGAGAGAGAGAGAGAGAGAGAGA